CTCCCATAGATTATTAGCAAGAACCAATTTTAAATGATCGCGTAATTCAGTCTATTATAACAGGTATTCCAAAGCAACCTTGAATTACTTTTGATACTCGCTGGATTTGTTCTCGGTTACCCCTAGTCCAACTCCTCGGCTGCGATCTGTAAATAGCCCACTGGTCTGCCTCCTGCCAGTGGGGATTTTTAAGTTCTTAGTTAGTCTACATTGTGGCTGAAAAGCCCCTAAGGGGGAGCTTCAATTAACGTGTATTATTATTATTATTATTATTATTATTATTATTATATCCAATTGAAAATTTCCCATATATTGCTCTTTGTATTAGTATTGTATCATGTTGGCAGTGGTATAAGTATAATTGCTATTGGTACTGGCTTTTAAGTGTCGGTGTTACTCTTTTTTAACTTTAATGTCATTTATCCAGGCCCAAGATTCGTCGCCAGAAAATATTCCTTTTTTTCAACTTTATCGATCGTCGACACCTCCAAAGACGATGCTGGGAAAATAACTTGCGTCGCAGAGGGAGCTAACATAACCATAAACTTGGAAGGTGTGTCCTGACAAGCCTTGATGCATCTCATTATGTAGCATTTTTGAGGAGATCGTGCTCAATAACTGGTTTTTCTTTCTGATACATTTTGGCACAACGATGTTGGAACGTGTTGTTTTCTATTGGAAATACTTCGGTTTAATCGCTCAGCCTTCTTAACGCTGTCAGTGCGTTTCTATTGGTGCATTTGTAAGTTCAAAAGAAGTGACGTAACAAAAGCTGACACGAGCAAAAATCAGGAGGTTGGATTTCGGTGTTGAAGTTTTGGGTTGTGTTGTTTTATTTTACGGGAAAAAGTGGACTCCAAGAGAATATATCACCTGGGAATTTCGAAACTTTACAGCTCAAAGAATCGGTAGAACAATAACAATGATTAAAAGTAAGAGCAGCGAATGTATTTTAACTGTAAGTACATAATCGTACTGTTAGTTTAAAATGAAAATGAAATCACGTATTTGTACGTGTGTTTAAAATAAATTAATAGATGAGCTGCGCTCAGTGTATGTTTTACTTACATTACACTCTTTGTTTACAGTTTGTCACGATATACTAGACACATATCAATGCAAGACCACCGTTACCAGCCTTACACGTTGCTCGGAGGAGAATTATTTACGCATAAACTGTAAGAAAACCTGCAGACTATGTCCAGGTAAAGGCCAAATTACAATTAATTTAAAAAATGATGATAGCTAGATGCATTTATGGACGGGCTCCACTCCTCTATACGTCAGATGTAGTAGACTTGTGCAGTGTGCCAGTGTCGATACCATATATCGTTTCTTTGTAGTCTCAACTACATCTCACAAGTACGCCACACTGGTATCGCTTCACTTTTCTCTTGAGATCCTTGTAGATGTGGTCTGATCGTGGATGTCGACGTGATAGCGAAAGTCGTTCTAAAGATCTTTTTTTGATAGCGAAGCCTTGGTGTCGCCTACCCGAGACGAGTTCACAACCTCGTGTAAACGGTCGCTTGGATTTTGTAAAGAAATAAGTGAAAAGTTAGCTCGTTCGGGGTAACTCTGGGGGAAGGTTGTCTGAGGGGGAGGGTTGTCTCAGATACTCTTGACCATATGAATACAGCCTTGGTGTGCGTTCTGTGGCCACAGAATGTAATCTTTTTTTTCATACAGATTACCTTTCTTCCCTCGTTTCACTGAGTTAATTCTATAACTGAAAAAGAAAAGAATTGTTCCAATGATGATGAACGCCTAGGATGGCGGATCGAGCGATCTGGGCCCTGGTCAATACGACTGGGGCCTTAGGAGCCACGGTCGTGGATGGAGAACGCAAAGGGAGTTATTTTTACAAAAAAAAAATTTGATGCCTTTCCAGCAAATATACGTTTGGATTTGGATAAACGAAACTCAAAGGCCTCGAATGTCTCCGCCTCCTTGGGCGTTTTCCATACATTCTGTTGACCAACCAAAGATCAAGCACGAGGTCTGGTAGCGAGCTCGAAAGGAGCGGTACTATGGGGGAAGAAGCTGCACGCGTCTTGGGAAAACTGAATGATAGGCATTCAAGTCACTCAATCTTTTGAAAGTAAATAACCTTTAAAGCTCACTTGGCCCATCATCTCAAATTTGGCGGGATTCATAGCTCTATTAGGTTCCACCCCAAGCCGACCTGTTAGATGGGTCGTCTTCAATTTTTGCGAGCTTCTCATTAACTAAAATTTTCGTCTCATTTGAATTCACTTATCTGTGTCGTATTTTATTTATTCAATTCAGAGCCGACTTGTACAGAGACAATTCTGCCTACAACAGCACCACCGACCACTACAGCACTACCGACCACTACAGCACTACCGACCACTACAGCACCACCGACCACTACAGAACCACCGGCAACCACAGAACTACCAACTCCGACCGAGACACCCACGGCCTCAGGGATAAATGACTCTAGCGGTGGAGTGAATTTAACCTCTGGTTTTTATGACCTCTTTCCCCTCGTATCGAGCCTCTTTGTTATGATGTCATTGATGTTCTCACGTCTCTGACTCGACTGAAAAAGAAACACATGAGCAACGCTTAGTTTTTAGAATTGGTGATTTATGCTAATGAATCTTAGCCACAAGTACTTCATCTCACAGGCTTTTCTTATTTTCGTCCTTTCTATATTTCTCCCTTTTTTCATTTAATTAAAAAAAATTAGAAAGTTAGGACAGCATTTCATTTTCTTTTTTGTCACGAGTTTTTTTCATAAGGGCTAGGCATAATTGCAAGGTCTTAAAAATTATGATTATAGGTTGATTTTTTAGTGTTTCCACGAAAGCTGTAGATTAGGCCCGAGATAACCCTCCCCCGAGACAACTTTGCGGATAGTGTAAATGAAATTTGACACCTGCTAACCCTCATTCGGCCAGGCAAGGTTACATATTTGACAAAATAGCGGACGAAAGGTAAAGAGTAATTGTAAAACACGCGCGCGTGCACTGGTTATAGCGTGTGAACCCTTTTTGTGTTCGAGTTGTCTCGTCTCGAATGGGCGAGACAAAGTGTTTATGTGAAAAAAAAGTTCTCCTGCCTGCCAGGGTTACCCTACCTTTTGAGGTGAGATAACTCGCGTTCCCCCTCCCCCCTTCCCCGAGTTGTCTCGTTTACCCGAGACTAGTTCCCAACCTCATGTAGGCTAAATTTTGCAAAGAAAGAAGTGAAAAGTTAGCTCTCCCAGAGTAACTCGTGGGGGAGGATTGACTCGGGTACCTTGACGATATAAATGAATGTAATTAGCTACTGTATTGTAAGTAGCATTGTAACTAGTATTGGTGTTGTATTGGAATAATTAAAAGATCTATACCAAATGAATAGAAAGGATATTTTTTAAAGGAAAACTCACTTTCGTAGGTCTGTTGTTTACTCACAAAACATGTTTGAAAATTAGAAGTTTTTAATGACTAGAGGCATTTGTGCATGTACTCGGGCGCTCGTAATGGTAAAATTTAAGTACACTCTTCAAACTTTTTTCACATTTACGGATTCAACCCTCCTCTGAAATTGCACACGAGTACAATTGCCAAGCTAAGCGTACGCGTCTACCAAAAGTGTTTTAGAGTCGTTTCAGAGGACCGGGATGTTGGATTTTTGTTTCTTGTACTGCTCTAGTGAGTGGAACAACTGAAAAGTAGCTGCAGTAAATTTATTTTCTACAAAAGCCTTCCCATGTTCATGATGCGTGACATCTATCACACCGTATAAGCATGTCTTCGTTGGTGTACAAAAACGTGACTCGTCGAGTTGACTCAGGGATTAGCTGGTTGAACGTGACATATAAAATCACTGCTGTCGATATCGGTCTTATTATCTTTCAACTCCTCAATTTGGCGTTACCCTGGATCTTTGCTTTTGCGAATGGTATTTGCGAATCGTCCCTACAAAGATCTCGTGGATGCAATTTCGTTTTGAGTCTAAGCTTTAAGCCTGATTTCGAACGTCTTAAACAGTTATAACCTAAGCTTGGGAAACCATTATGGCTGTTGAATACTTGGCTCCTTTAATAACAAGTTTATTTTTTTTATCAGTCACTCTGGCAGGTATTTATATTTATTGTTGCTACATCAGAGCGGAAAAGAAAGAGGACACAGCTCAAACAGTATCTACAGTCAGAGAGAAGAAATATTTTGAAAGTCTTTCACCAGACTTCTTCAATCACATGTACCCTATTCCTGTAGCTCTTCCATCAAGCGACTTAAGCGGTATTGTTAACGTCAAGTTTTCAAGTTCTCCACTGATTTCACCAACGATTGTGAAAGATAGAAAAGCAAAGGGAATAGATGGGGAGATGTTCCAGGGCAGACCATTGTTCTTTAGAAGCATGAGCCATGATCCAAAATGGGTCAACTTTCACTGCCAGCTTCAAGTCATTCAAGAAGTAAATGAAGAGGAAATATCGGATGGAGAATTTTCTGTAGGTAAATATGTTACCTAAAAGAATATCGGTGCGCTGCAGGATAAATGATGACTCAAACAGGATCTTCAAAAACTTCCCCAAAGCGACATTCCAGTTGCCCATTTGAAGTCAGTTCAGTATCAGATGCTTGTGCCTTCAACAGTTAGAAACTCATGGCAGAAATCATGTTACAAACTTACAAACATGTATTTCGTATTGCGTCTGTGGCAAGCCTTTGCACGAAAACAACACACAGCGCACGGTTTTTATGGTTAGCATAGCCTGTTTCTGGCTCTTTTATGGAAGCAGTCAAAAACAAACGAGTAAAGTTGCTTATCAAGATACAAATAAAAATAAATTAAAAAAAAAAAAAGAAGAAGAAGAAGAAAGATCAAAAAATAGAATCAAAAGCATAAGTGAAGAAAATCTTAAAATTCTTAATTTTTATGAATCTGAGACGGAACTTAATATGCAACATTATCAGGGGCGTCCAGACACATCTTTGGGCTCGGCTATCATTGCAAACAAGAGTTTTAGTTCATTACTGACCACTTCATCGATGCTTGCTTTATCGATGCAATTTCTACTCTACAAAAACATGTTATTTCTTTTGTTATATTTTGAAAATTTGCATTACCAATTTGTAGGATATAGGATGTTTGTGTACCAAAGATAGCCATCTTTCAGATCATGTTGTGATTGTTTACTTCGAGCCAATAGATATTTTTCATAACCAATAAGACAAAGCCAAACATAGAACGCAGCTCTATCAAAAGTCACCAGAACAATTCGAATGACCTTAAAAATATCAGCAGTTTCCTGTGCATAATTGAATATGTATATGTACATATAAGCTCTTTATTGCATGGAAGACCAGATCTCAGATATACAACCTTGTAAATAGATCAGCTAAGTTACTTTAAAGTATGAAACAGTTTAGTATCTTTGCACTAACAACAGAAAAATTCAGAGGAGAATTTCTTGTGAGAGGGTACCATATAAGCAAAGAATTATACTAAACAACGAAACATCACGTATAAAACAAACTGCAGAGTGAAACAAGGAGTTGGTGTTATTGAAAATAGAAGCTGAGTTATATAATACGCTAATTGGCCCCATCTTGCAGCCCAAAGCTAACGAACTGATATTCAAGCGATTGTGAACGATCGAGAGCCACAGCGAATGAAACATTTAATTAAAGCTCTAACATGAGTAAAAGCAAATTCCCCTTGAGTTCAACCTTTAATTAACTTCCGCAATATTCTGCTTCAGTATTCAGTATGATCGCAGAAAATTTTAAATTTAATCGAGCCTATAGCAGTCACGTTGTTGTGTTGTTACGGTGATCGAGAATCGATTCTAGAAGAATCGTTCTCATTAGTAAGTTGTTCGCTGCTGACTTGGGCATGCAACTAATATACGAAACTTTCGTAGTCTGAGCGGTTAGACGTTTTCCTTTTCGTCCTCCACTTCTACGTTTCTTCTCCTTCCATAATTACCTGCAGATGGCAGGGTGACCTAGGAGATATTTCGTTACTAGTTCTTTTACAAACACGTTTTTTCTCAGGTAGCTTTACACAAGGCTGCTCCTGCCTAAAATGGCACGGCGACGGCAAGCTCCTTGCACTTTCAATCCCTTCACCTATGACCGATGTTGTACAAAACTCCAATGGAGCAGGTCCCATATAAAATATGAAAGGAGAACTATTTAACTTGAACGAAGGAAATTTAGCAGATTTCTGTTGTGCCCCGTGGTTGTGTTTTCCAGTGTCTTCTTCCTGTCTTTCTTGCCCACTTTGTCCTTTTCGCGTTTTCAAATGATACCAATAAAGACAGAATCCCACAATAGCAGTGGAGACGATAAACAATCCAGCAATGAGAGGCACGAAATAGGCTGGGATATCGCTCATTGTTTTTACGCGCTACCAAAGTCTGTAACTTTGACGGTGAATCCAGCAGCGATTTTCCTTATTTCCAAGGGAGTCACTGACTATCTTCCATAGAAATCTCCTTTACAATTTAACACTAAGAGTGAAAGAAGTGTTCCAGGCCGCGTGTCTTTTGTAGTTTCTATCTGTATTCAATACGAGCAAAGCTGCACGTCTGTTTACTTTTTTAAGACTCCAGCAGAGTGCAACGTGACTGGGCTTGCACGTGTCGTCATGTTTTCATTTAATTTGGTTTTATCAACTAAGCTGAAGTTGCAAATTGGCCACCGTAAAGAGTATAAAAGTTGACGTTTCGTGCGTTAGCCCTTTGTCAGAGCGATTTCATTTTATTGTCAGTTACAAATTTCAGTTTACACTCAGATAATGAGATATTTCAATGTGATTATACAGTCATTTCAAATTCTTAGCGAGTTTTCTTTTTGCCCAAGTTTTTTGGCGGTTTAGCGCAAATCGCTTCCGTTGAATTGCAATTACGGATCGCGTGATTCAAATTCGCAGCCATCATTTTTCAGGGGCTTGTCACGCTATATTCCTGTAAGAGCCATTCGATGTTGAGAACGTTCTTTACGATTTCGTGTGAAGCGCGACGTGGTATAAAGGAAGTAAGACACGCTCAAGCCAAGACTAGACTCTATTTTCGTTGCTACTCACGACACGAGGTCAAATGAACCAGGTCACATTCTCAAGATCTGTGAACGATTCAAGTAAAAACATGTGCGGGGGCGTTCCTACTCAGTTCCTTCTTTGAAGTCTTGACTTCTTGAAATGTGATTAAGTGTAAAATTAAATATGGTGCCAAATCACTTCTTGTCCTGGATAAATAGGCTATTTAAGGTTTTTCAATTTTTCTTTCATTCATTCCTTTTTTTTTTTTTATTTGTTCTTGTTTTCAGGGGGTGGGGGAACCTGAGCAGACCTTGCTTGTGAAAGGTGACTAGGATTATCCTTAGAAGGTGTGATTGATGAAAGCCATCTACGTCACGTTCAGGATTTTAATTTTTCAACGTGGTCTAAACATTGCAATTCACGAATCAACTACAAAACTGGACGAATCGACAAATTAACTAGAATTTAACATTAAAGTACGTTCTTGAGAGGTTATCAGCATATGCCATGTAAAGGGACATCATCGGGAATAGAAATAATGTCCACTGAATGGGGTTGACCCAGTCGACAAACTCGGCTAAAACTATAGCAGCATTATTTTTTCGGTCGACTGACAAAGTTAAGCTTCACTGTGTCCTTTACCAGACTGCAGGTGCCTTCACTGGATATTGAGGTGGCCCAAAGAAAGGGAGGACGAAAAGATAAAAGAAAAAATTAGAGACGTGAACATGACATGGTCGTACATGTTTTCGAATTTTTCTGAAACTTGTCTGGAAAAAAACTTCATGCATGGCTTATTTAACTCTTTCCTCATTTTCTTCGGTGCCAAAACTTGCAGTCACGTTTATGATTATGCTTCCATGGCATGTCACAGCGCACATGTATTACGTTACATGTCTGGGAAGAGAGTTTGGTAAAGCTAATGCTATCCGGGGCGTAGCCATTCTATAGCCCCGTAGGCCCGGGTCAACAATTTTCTTCCGCCCGCTTGACTTTTATCATATAACTTTTACAAGGTTTGAAACAAAAATTGGTCTTTCTTTACGAAATTCTTTCCAGTTCTTAATTAGCAAAGAATCAACAAGAATAATTCTCTCTCAGTTCTCTTGAAATGCCTACAACGAGTCAAAAAGCTTGACATGCCCCTGGCCAATAATAATAATAATAATAGTAATAATAATAATAATAATAATAATTTTTATTATTTCTATAGCGCAAAATTCATTAGATATATGATCTAATGCGCTTTACAAGTTGATGAAGGAAAACTAACTATGAAAAGATTATTTACAATTAATGATACTATTATTACATTTGATATAGTACTTAATATAACACTTCAGATAATAGATAAAATTGACAAATATAGCTAA